ATTTACATACAACTTCAGCGTGTCTTCAAACACAGGTAAGTGCAGACTATGCACCTTTACAAGCATTCCCTCAGACTCAGGCTCTAACGTCAACTCAAATACACGGTGACCACAAAGCTACACTCAAGTCTGCTCTGGTTGTTACTCTTCAGCTTGTGTCCCACCCTGGGACACTTTAGCCTCAAAGGCAGGGCCATGTGAGAACAGAGAACATCAACTGAGTACCTGGCATGGCTGGTGCTAGAGATGTTAAAATGAAAAAGACATCATTCCTGCTCCTCATTCATTCATTCAAGAAATATCAATTAAATGCCTTCAATGTCCTAGACATTGTGTGAGGCACTAGGGATATTGTGATAAGGAGACAGGTGAGGTCCCTGCTTTCGTGGCACTTACCATCTGGTGGGAGAAACAGGGTGAGATGGGGGCGGGGGGAGCAGGAGAGCAGGGGTCGCAAAGCATTAAAGTGTTTCTATCATCTTCTCCTCTCTTAGGGACACTTTCATTCAATTTGAGTCCCTCACTCCTGCTATATTTTGTATTCAGAACACACGATTGAGTAGTTTAATCACCTGAAAGAGCAAGGATTACCTCAATGAGATGCCACCATGCACCTACCAGATTGGCAAGACTTTCAGAGTGTAACTAAAAAACCGACTGTTGGTGAGGAGGTAGAGTAACAGAAGTGGTTGTGCCACTGCTGGTGAGGACGTGAACTGGCATAATCTCTTAGTGACAAAGTTGGCAGTATTCAATAAATAGGGCATACCCTAGTAATTGCTCTCCTTACTTGTGTATCCTATAAAAACATATGCCAATGTGCATCAGGATACATGTACAAGAATGAGAAAGCTTCTTGGTCATAATCCCAAGATGGGAACAATCCAAATATCCATGGACAGTAGAATAAATAAACAAGTTACGGATAGAACTTAATGGAATACTATATAGCAACGAGATAAGAATGATCTACACACACAACAACATGGATGAATCTTAAAGCATCATAATGAGCAAAAGAAGTCAAACAACATAGAATATAGATGATATGATTCCATTTATATAAAGTTCAAAACCAGGAAAAATTAAACCATATTGCTTAAGAATGTATAGTCAGGTAACAACACTTAGAAGCAGGGAAATAACATAAAAGTCAGGATAGTGGTTGTGCTAGCAGGGAGGGGGGAATATGGTCTGGCAAAGGACACATCAGGAAGCAGGCTTCTGAGGTGCTAGTAATGTTCATTTTACAATAATTTATTTATTACACTGTATTTATGCATTTATCACTTTTCTCTATGCTTGTTATATCCCACACATACACACATGTTAAAAAAAAAAAAAAAAAAAAGAAGAAGAGAGAGTGGAATCCGGGCTTTGGAACCAAACGAAGAAGCTACATGGTAGCTGTTTGGCTCTAGGCACATTAGCGAAGGGGCAAATGGAGATAAGACCCCTCTTGAAGAAAGAAGATATCAAACGAAAAATGTGAATCTCCCTTTAAGAAAGGAATTAGTTTTAACAGAAGGGAAACTGCAAAACACCACTGGAATCTAAAAGACCTTATTTATGCAGGTGCTGTGCTATAAAATATTCTAATCTGCGTCGTTAATGAAGCTGGATTTACAGCCTAGTAAACTAAACAAAGGGCTTATGTTTAGTTGATTAACCAGTTGAGGCTAAACTCTAGTCTACCTAAGTGACAGTTTTCACTTTTACATCTTTCTTCTATCCAATGTGAAAAGATGCTGGCTCTCTTGCTGTGAAATTGCTTTACTATATGACTCTATCTTTATCCATTTGAAACGCAAACTTCTATCTTTGTGAACCTTGTTCCATTGAGAGAAGTCCTAATGGTGGTACGAATGACTTACACAAGGAGTTCTGCTTAGAAACCAAGCATTTCATTAGGCAGTTTGTAGTTATTAAAACATTTTGATATGCCCCTATCATCCTTTGAAGACTTCCTTACTTCATGACACAAGAAGATATTCCAGGGTCATCTTGTATTTTCCCGGCTTCAGCCTGGGAGCCTCAGTCATTTTTTCAAGGAGCCCTGGGTCCTTTTAGTAGAGAATGGTATTTAGAAACCAAGATGTAGGCTTGCTTATTGCTACTGGGATGTCACTGCTTTTAGTCCCTCTCAGTAGACAGGATCAACAAATATGCACATACACACACGTGTGTGTGTGTGTGTGTGTGTGTGTGTGTGTATCTATCATATTAAATACCATGAGTTCATATTCATACATTTAATTCCAATCCAACAGCAGAGTTCCTTCTAGCATTCACCCTTTCCCTGTTTGTAACTCCCTTCTCTAGCATTGGGAAATCTATTTTTAATCATTTTGAACGTAACAATTCGTAAAGAGTGTTTCCATTTTTTTTCCCTCTTGTATTAGCCTTTGTTCTCCAAGAACAATAAAACCTCCAGAGTTTTCATTTATTTTATTCATTCAACCAACCTATATTCATCAAGCAAATACTATGTGTCAGATAATGTTCTAGGGCTGGGGATACAGCAGTGAACAAAACATCATATTGGGGAAGGAACCAGGGAAAGAGAGAATAGTAGATACAAAGCTGGGAAATGGCAAAGCAGGGATCTGAACCCAGACAGTCTGGCTCCAGAATTCATACTATACCATCTGCCTCTGATTGCTTTTGTAATTTGCTCTCTGCCTTTTACAAAAGTTTACAACTCTCTTGAATCTAATAAAAATGCCTCTGTCAGTTTCTAAATCTACACAATGCAGAGCCTGTACATCTTCCACATTACTTAACTTCTCTGAGACTCAGTTTCCAAATCTGTGAAAATGAAGATATTAATCTCCACCTGCTGCGAGGATGAATGAAATTTTATGAGATGGCTGGTGCTATTTGTGATGCATCATAGACATTTAGCGAAGTTGATTTTCCCTTTCTTTTTCAACAAAAATGCTACACTATAAAGTTTCCCCAGGATAGAGACTTTTTTCTCTTTCTAATTCATTCAATCAGTCAATCGTTCATTTATACATTCATTCATTCTTACATCTATTCGAAAAGCATTTATTGTGAATCCAATATATACCAGGCTCTCTGCTAGTCATTGAGGATACAGAAATGGCACAGCCCCCATTCTCAAGGAGCTCACAGTCATATTCAAGAGACACACAATTACAGTACAATCTGATATGTAGCTCACGTGAAAGCTAGAAGCAGGGTGGTTATGGAAGAAGGTTTCCTGAAAGAAGGGGCTGTGTCCTAGCAAGGACTGGTATAGCAGTTCTGCTATTAAAGTTGCCAAGAATGAATGAATAAACAAATGGGTGAACGAATTCAATTCAGTTCAGCTAATATTTCATAGAAGATCCTACTCTCCAAGGCACTGTGCTCCGAACTGGGAGTGTGCAGATGAAAAAGGGGCAGCTCAAGTCCTTAACCAGCTTTCTGGTTTTACTGGCAGATACAGACATCTAGAAAGAGATGCTTCAATACAGTGTAGCAAATTCGATGGGGTAGGCAAGCTGCTAGGACAATTAAAATGTTACAAACTGGGTTCCTTTTGCCCCCCACATCATTATGCCAATCACTGAGACCATGAGTTTGCAAAGAAAAAGGGTTTAATCACAAGTCAGCCAAGTGAGGAGATGGAAGAACCAATGTCAAATCTGACTCCCCTAAAAAAATGGAGATTAGGGATATTTGTGGGATAAAGGGTCAGGGTGGTCTGAAGTGGGAATAGATGCTTGGAAGTAAGAAGTAAGGTAATTGAGGATCTGTGCAAACATAGTCAAGCTTCATGGCTCTTCATGGGACGCCTGTTCACAAATTGTGGCATTACCATGATCTGAGGGTGTAGTTTTCAGCTCCTTGACACCAAAGGGTTATCTCTCAGTCATCCTCGAAGGCCCAGTTGATGAGTCAGTGGTCTTCACCAGCCGGAACTGCACCAGGAGTCAACTCTCAGTTCCTGAAAAACTCAAGCACCTGTTACCATGGTGACCCGGGTGTCAGAGATGTTAACTATAGAGTGGGTTTTAGTAATGCATTATCTAATCACTTTTGCAAACAGACAACTGAGTGTAAAGCAAGTGGCCCCCGGTTTCAAAAAGATGGATTGCGGCTCTATTAGTGTAGGCTTCCTAGAATGAGCTCCTTGAAGCTTGAATATATCCAATAGAAGAACAGGAGTCATTGGCAGCTTCTGATCTGAGGAATAATATGGCCAAATTTGTATTTGTTGGTAGGATAGAGAATGGAGAATGGAAATGGGGAAGAAACACTAAAACCCAAGGCACCAGCTAGGAGCCTGAATTATAAATAGGAAGCTTGAGGTAGACGTTTGCTTTGGTGATAGAATTAGGCAGGGGTTGCAAGTACTCACGCAGAGTACGTAGAGTGAAAAGAGGGTTGATGGAACCCTGCAAACCAACACTGTTTAAGCAGCTGGCAGAGAAAAAGCAGCCCTGGAAGGACACCTAAGAAGAGTCAGGACAACTAGGAGAGAGACTGGTGTCCCGGGAGTCCGAAAGAATAAAGAGAAGGCGGAGACAGGGAGGATCCGGGAGGAGGGATGTTGTGTCCAGTGCTGTAGAGAGGTCCAAAAAGCGTCCGTTTGGTTTGGCAACAGGTCATCTTTGCCAGAGCAGCTTCTGTGTTAGCGGTGCAGGCGGGAGTTCCACTGCAATAAATGAGTGAATGAGAGAGTAGAGAAAGCGAAGGGAAGTAAATGAATGAATAATCAAGCGCTGTGCCCTCGCTTGCCCTGGGAATTTCCAGGGCCAATGTGGGAGTAGGTGCGGAGGCAGGAGGGCCTTCCCGACAGGGCTCTGGGTGCCGCCTAGGAAACCTGTCAGCCTCGCCACCCTCGGGTAGGCGCGGCTCCAAGGTCAGGGTCACCTCGGGCCTCCAGGCAACCCGTCACCTTGACGACCAACTGAAAAAAACCGGAAAGGACGGAAGCAGCCAGATCATCTCGCGATATCTGGCCCGCCAGCGCCGGCCTTCCGGACCTGGGAACTGCGGCCGGCTCTCGCGAGACTTGCGTGGCGTCGGAGCGCGGGGTTGGCCCGTAAGGGAAGCTGGAGTTGCGGGTGGAGAACATGTCGGATTCAGAGCTCGGCAGGAAGTGGGACCGGTGCTTGGCGGATGCGGTGGTGAAGATAGGTAAGGGGCGTCTCGCCGCTGGCAGGCCCCCCCGGAGCCGAGCCGCCAGCTCCAGGGTCTGCTGGCCGGGAGGGCGGCAGGGGAGCCCCGCGAGAGGTCAGGCCGTCCGGCCTGTTCCAGCCCTGAGGCCAGGGCGAGCTGCCCGAGCCCGGGCGGGAGGTCACCCGGGCGGCGGGGCACGCGGGCCCGAGGAGCCTGGCAGCCGCCCGGGGTGCGAGGGTGGAGTTGCAGCCCCGAGGATGGGCGGCGGGCTGGCAGGTGGCAGAGTTGCGGAGCTCTTGGCGTGAAAAACGGTCTGCCGGGCACTGCCTTGTGCCGGGGAGCCGAAATTCTCCTACCTGGTGCCACAGGTCCCGCACGGGGCGTGGAGCCTGGGCAGGAGGCCACATAGCTCCCCAGCTGAAACAAAAGTGCCTTCTAAAGAAGGTCCCCCGCAGCATTTTATAGACGCTGCTGGGCCCGAACCTGAGTTGCTGACATTCCCGAGTTGTAACCTGATTTATCGGGTTCAGAGTAGTCTGGGGCCTGAAACTGGAGACACAGTGATGGTGCTCTGGAAAGAGAATTGCCCTGGAAAGTAAGAGATTGGTCACTTTTCAGTTCTTAAGTGTAACTTCTCGTAGCCTTTTAACATGTGCTCAGTGACCACACGGATTATGAAGTCACTGCATGGAGGGAAGAGGTGGGGAGAGAGGGGAACTCATTTATTCAGCGTGTACCAAGTGCCAGACGCTGTGCTGGGCGCCCAACTTAATACACTGTCTCATACAGGCCACGAAATTGAGAGTCAGGTGAAGGCATTTGCCCAAAGTCTAATAAATGACAAAGTTGCTAATAAATGGCAAAGTTGGGAATTTAACCCAAGTTTTCCTACTTCAAGTCCCATGCGCTTTCTTCGATAGTAATTTTTTAAAACAAATTGGATATTTTTGTATGGAAATCTTCGAGTGTTTGAGAGGTCTTAAGGTTTTGCCCTTGAGTGAAAAGATTGGAAGAGAAATAAGATTGTAAGTTCCATGAGAGCAGGCTTATCCCTGGAAGGATGCTTAATGAAAATTGTGGAGAATGAATTAATAAATGAAGTATTTGATCACAGCTCCCGCTTCACCCTTGAGTTCGCCATTTACCAGTTACCAGCTGTGTGATGTGGGGCTTCTTCACGCCTGTTGCCTCATTTGTAAATTGGCAATAATAATTATTACTTTCTCAGAGTTGTGAGGATTAAATGAGTTATTGGGTAAAGCCTTGAGTATGGATCACTTATTAGGAATGGCTTATTCTGGAAATGACCAAAGAAAGACACAGTTTTTGTTATTGTTAACAGCTTACGTTTAGGAGAGATTTAATGCCTGGATATGAAATGACCAAAGTAATTACTAAACAATGTGTTGTAGCGGTTAAGAGTGGGTTTTGGAGCTAGAAAGAGCTGAGTTTGCAATCACCCTCTCTCACTTCACCCCCATCCTCACTAGTTTTGCAGCTTTGGGTGAGGTCTCTTCCTTAACCATGAAAAGGGGATAAAGAGGAAGATTTACCTAAAAGGATTAAGATTAAAGGATGGCAAAATACATAAGACATTTAGGACAGTGCCTGGCACTTATTATGTCTTCAGTAAATTGTGGTTGTAATAATCGTTGATATTGTGCCACTGATGATCACCTGAGGCGGTGAGTAGTGTCAGTGTCATTCATGAGTGGGACGTTGGTGGGGGCACATAGACAAGTGGAATATTAAATGAGGTACAGTGATGTATGATTAAAGATGAAGGTTAAAATGAGGGATTGAGACTCCTAGCTATAGAGCTATTGTAAGTGAGGTAAGTGGAGTGAGGGGCTGAGGTCATCCAGTAAGAGTTTGCAAGGGAAACGGGCCTTCAGCTGACCTTGGAGAGCGACTTGGACTTGGATAGTCAGAGAGGGTGGGAGGATTTGAGCAGAGGCCGCACTGAACTTTTACAGAGGAGGAAATTAAAGCGTGGAGAGGTAAAGTGGCTCACGGTGGAGGAGCTGGGGTTGGCACCCAGGCATTCTAATTCCAGCGCCCCTGCTCCCTAAAGGAAAGCAGGCTGGTTTGGGTGGACGCAGAATTGTGAAATGTCTTAGTGAGATGCCACATTATCTTGAGGGCTTTTGAGTTTGCCTTTGGCTTTTTCACATGCATTCTGCATATTCAACATCTTTGTCTTAAAAATCTCTTAATTTTCTGCTTCCCTAGGCTGGGTGGGGAATCATGGGATGGTTTTAAGCAACACTTACTGAGCTCTGGGCCGGTCAGTGGGCAGATAGAGAAGCAGAAGGCATTTCTCTGCCCTCAATAGGCAATTGATGTGATATAAAGGGAATTTCGCTATGATTGTTCTGCCAGTGTTTTATACAGGACAGATTTGGAGTAGAGGAGACTGACAGTACTGTGAATGTGAAGTGATAAAAGTCTGAACTCTTAGACTGGAAAGGAGTGGGTATATCTGAGAAACTTCAGGTTTTTTCTCCCATTTATCAAATGGAAAGACTATTACCCACTTCCTAGGCCGGCACGGTCCCAAGTACATAGTAAGAACTCAATAAATGCTATTTTCTCTCCAACTGGTTGACTTTGCCTCATCTTCATTATAAAGATGACTCCGAGGTTAGACCTTGGGTAAGTGGTAATGTCACTGATCAGAATATGGCAGTAAAACAGGAGGGGTGCGTGGGCACCTCACTGATAATAAATAACACAGAGTATAAGACTTAGTAACTGACTGCGTGAGGCGGCAGAAGACAGACTATACTGAGAAAAAAGGTCATGATTTTGGTTGTTTTTCTGCTTAAATAGTTGAATTTGTTTGAGAATTATAATGGAGAAGTTGAAAAGAGGTTTTTAATTTTGAGGGAGAAGGTGAGTTCACATTTTGAGGGGGTTGTCCCTTTAGTAATGGACCTGGAGACAGGGCATGAGAGAGATGAAGCATGGAAGTGTAATTTGGGGAAACTTTAGTCTTAGCGGTCGTAGAGTCTATGAGGATGAACGCTCTTCTATAAGGAGTGTGTTAGTTCCTGTTCCTATAGGCGGTGAGGTTACGGAACTCTTGAAACCTCTTTGCTACTTGCTTTTCTCCTACTTCAAAATGGAAATGGAGACTCAGGGAATGACAGCCTGCCATAAGCTAGAGGTTTTGTGGAAGATGTAGGCCAGGAAGAAAGGCCCACTGCAGGCTTGCATCTGCATATTCCTAATTTCATCCTTTCTCGATTGACAGAGACAGAAGGGAAGCCAAGGTCAGTGGACAGCTCCCTTTGTGAGCACTTCTCTGTTTGTTTGGCTAAAATGTTTTGTTCTTTTCCCATTGGTTTGCTGACAAATGATTAATTTTAATTGCTCATATTTGGCCTAGACGTGGTACAGCTGACTTAAGTGGCTCTTGCAAGCTTGTGCTTTAGGCAATGTTTCTTTAAAAAAGTGTTCTTCAGGGATCTCTTACTCTGAGACTTCAGGAGTGTCTTTTTTTTTTAATTTTTTTTTTTTTTTGAGGAAGATTAGCCCTGAGCTAACTACTGCCAATCCTCTTCTTTTTGCTGAGGAACACTGGCCCTGAGCTAACATCCGTGCCCACCTTCCTCCACTTTATACGTGCGTGGGACGCCTGCCACAGCATGGCTTTTGCCAAGCGGTGCCATGTCCGCACCTGGGATCCGAACCGGCGAACCCCGGGCTGCCGAAAAGCGAATGTGCGAACTTAACCGCTGCGCCGCCAGGGGGGCCCCGAGTAGTGTCTTAATAGAAAGTTTTCATATGATTTGGTCCTGTAGGAAAAGATGCATTTATTTATAATTACCCCTCCCCCTCCTTTTGCTATCATAAGAAAAGCAGTTCTGTTTCCCCGAATAATAATTAGGCTTTAAAAAATCTACAGCCATGTGTCACTTAGCAATGGGGATATGTTCTGAGAAATGTGTCATTAGGTGATTTCGTTGTTGTGTGAACATCAGAACGTACTTACGCAAACCTCGATGGTATAGCCTACTGCACACCTGGGCTGTATGGTATAGCCTGTTACTCCTAGGCTACAAACCTGTACAGCATGTTACTGTACTGAATACTGTAGGCAATTGTAACACAATGGTAAGTGTTTCTGTATGTAAACACGGCTAAACAGAAAAAGTACGGTAAAAATATGGTATAACAGATAAAAAATGGTACACCTGTTTGGGGCACTTACCGTGAATGGAGCTCGCAGGCCTGGAAATTGCTCTGGGTGAGCTATCCTTTTATATGACTGACAGTGCAGCAGATATTTTTTTATACCAGCATCACCGCAAACACATGAGTAATGCACTATGACATTAGGACAGCTACGACGTCACTAGGTGATAGGAATTTTCCAGCTCCATTTATAATCTTATGGGACCACCGTCGTATATGTGGTCCGTCGTTGACTGAAATGTTGTTATGCGGCACATGACTGTATTTATTTATTTGGTGTCTGGTAGGAGTAGGGTAGGATAAATGGTTTCTAATATGATTTGACCTGATAAATTGAGCCCATGGATCAAGAAAAGAAAACAAAACACTGTCCCTGTAATAGGCACAACGGGTCATTGTTCATTACGCATCTGTTTCTCTCTTCTCTCAGCTCTTGTTCCTTCCCACATTTTCACCCTTCTCTTTGGCCTCTATTCTTATTCCTGCCGCTGCCACCCATGTGCATTGCTAATTCGTCCATAAAGTTTCAGATTAATGTATCTCTAAAAGAAAGCAAGCTTGTTAGCATTTAAGAAGTTCCTAGGTGTCCTACTTATTCTGTGTCACATCAGTCATTTTTCTTGGTGGCACAGATCACCATCTGAAATTTGCAATTTGTTTCCTCCTTGATTCCTGCTCCCCCTCGAATGGAAACTTCCTGAGAACTAGAGACCCTTTTGTTCACTGTTGAGCTCCCAACTCCAGGCATAGACAAGGCGTACGGTAATTATTGTCAAACGAATGACATGTATTGCTGAGAAATTTGTAGACTATGTTCT